CCTCGTGTGTGTGTGTGTGTGTGTGTGTGTGTGTGTGTGTGTGTGTGAAAGAGAGAGAAAAGGGTAATCATTTTTACTTAAGTGATCTGAATAGGTGGAAACACATACTATAAGTTATCAGCTTTGCACAATTTTACTTGCCCACTCTTTTTTAAATGGTAAATAAAATACCATTTAGGTTTTTCTTTCACTATTACTATGGTTGCCATCAGGCCACTTTTGGTGAAGTTCAGATAAATTTTCAATTTTTTAAGTATTTGTGAAACACATTTAAAAATACTTATTTGAGAAATATTTTTGTTTTACAGCATTCCACGCAACTCCTAACACTTACAAACGGAAGAATACAGAAACAGCAATAGATAATAAACCTTGTGGACAGCATTGTTATCAGCATCTGGTAAGATAACTTACTTCATTGGGTAGATGGAGAGTTGAGAGGTTTTTTTGTACTTTCTATTTAGCAAAAAATAAAAATCAAGTGTTGAAAAAGGTTAAGCCCATAGTGAAATGAATCCAGTCAAGCCATACTATGCAGTGCTGTAGGAAACTGTTGATGACTAAGGTCCCATGTGGTGTTAGGAGATACTGTGCTAATGAAGATGTGAAATTTAGGTGCTAGCAACTTGCAGTCAGTTTTCATAGCACTTTTCACAAAAATAAGGATAGTGACTCCAGTGACCAGGCCAAAGTTCAAATTGGGAAGTTGAATTATTTCATATGAAAGTACGTACCTCTAACAGTGTGAGTATATGGTTACCATATTTCAGGACCCGGCCAAAGGGGCAGCTGGAGGAGAGAGGGGAGCTGGAGGCGTGTGTGTGTACTGGGAGGGAGTATTTGGGGGGGTGTTGGAGGGGTTTGTGTGTATACTGGGAGGGGCACCTGGCGGGGGGAACCTGCTGCCTCACTCTCCAGGTGCGGGGGCTGTGTGTTGCTCCCTGCAGCTGTTGCAGGCCCAGAACAGAGCACCTGCAGTCTGTCAGCACCTCCCTGCCTCTCCCCCTCCCCAAGACTGGGAGGGGCACCTGGCGGGGGGAACCTGCTGCCTCACTCTCCAGGTGCGGGGGCTGTGTGTTGCTCCCTGCAGCTGTTGCAGGCCCAGAACAGAGCACCTGCAGTCTGTCAGCACCTCCCTGCCTCTCCCCCTCCCCAAGACTGGGAGCTGGGGCTTGGGTGGGTAGGATCCAGCAGCTGTGGCTGCAGGGGAGGGACCAATGTCGGCATGGAGATAGCTCTTTCTGAACTGCAACCTCTGTTTGCAAAAATCCGGACATTGCCTCTTATTTGAAAAAGCGCCCGGACAGAGGGTGGAGGATCAAAAACAAGAAAACGTTTGGGGAAGACCCAGATGTATGGTAACCCTATGTGAGTATCTTCCTCTCTCAGTAATGCACTGTTAACAGGCCCAATCCTGAGCTGGGACTTGTCTACTGACCTTTTACCGCAGGTGTAAGAGAGTTATGAACTGAGCCCTGATCTGTAATTTATCTGTCATAAATTTCATAAACTGCAGGGATTTGTTTCATTGTCAGGGAGGGTCTCCACCAATGTTTGTGTCCCTTAAGAAGCTGATATGGTTGAGGGATGGAGAACTTAGGGTACGTCTATACCCAGCCGCTAGTTCGGCGGCGAGCACTTCCGGGTTCGACTTATCGC